TGTGCATTCTTTGTAACCCTCCAGACAGCTGCACCTCATTCTAAAGACATTATGTATTTTTCCTTAGAGAAAGACATCAAACAAGGAAGTCCATGGTGGGCTGGAAGAAGTGATAAGGGTACATGAGCCGACAGCTTACTTCAGGAAACATCTTTCAGAGTCTATTTTCCAAGGAAGTCAATTTGACCTGGTGTTCCTCTCACCCAAGACAAAGAAAACAGCCCTCCAGGAGTTGCCCAGCTGGCACAAAGGTGGTGTTCAATAAATGCTGGCTGACTCTGAATAGGCAGACCAGATCACAGCAACTACTCAGCTTATTCTGTTTGTTTGTTCAAAAAAAGGGGGGGGCAGGTTTTCTCATCAGCTTTCTAGTTATCCATTTGCTGAGGATGCCACAGCTGGCTCCCCAACCCAAAAGCCACTGACAGCAAATTTCTCAAATGAGTCACAGACAATGCATGATCAAGCAACTGAATCTAGTCAGCCCCTCCTTTATTCCCTGTGGCTGACATTAATTAAGAAGCACAGGCAACATGCTATCACATTGAACTAAACAGTTTTTCCATTTTAAAAGAAAATCTTTACTAGTGTCAAATTTAAAATTCCACTACTGTATCTATTAGAGGCCAAAACAAAATGCAATTTTTTCCATTATATTAAAAAATCCTCATTAAAGAAAACTTGGAAAAAAGACAAAACAATCAGCCAGAAAAAGAGAAGAGTAGAAAACAATCAGCCATAAGACCTACCACTCAAAAACAGCAACTCTCAAAATTTTGGTTCATTATATTTCAGGGCTTTCTGCCCCCTAAGCATATGATTAGTTTTGCAAGTTTTGCCTAATTGTAATCATATAGTATATGCTCGTCGCATCTGCAACTTGTGTCACTTAAGTTATACCATAAGCATTTCCCCACTTTTTCTTTTCTGAACCTTGTATAACTGCATAGATGGTAAAGATTTTTAATTAAACCAAGAAATATCACTTGCTTTCTTTCACGGACACTACTTTAGTAAAAACTGAGAATTTCCAAAGTTCCTGGGGCTACTAGAGCTAAGATACATGAAAAATGCCCAGACACACAGGAAGTTTTTAAGATAATTAACTGACTTGCAAGTGACGAAGAGAATATTTACTATAGTCATATCTGGAAAGATACAAAAGAAATTAAATTCAGCCTCTGTTCCCAACAAATTTTTAATACCATTGAGAAGATAAAATGTATTTATACCCAATAACTGAAACCCAGTATACAACTGTCCTGGCTCTTCAGGAGCAGGGGATACTTCATTCATGTCTGCACCCTTAGCATGAAGAACAGTACCGGGCATATAACAAATACTCAGTAAATGACTGTTGTACTAAACTGAACTACAAACTAAGAGCTATGCTTATATGGAAATAGGAAAGGTCACTGTGAGCTGAGGTTAGGTTAAGCAGAGGAGCAGCATGAATATAGCAGAACGTGACTCTGGCAATAGTTTACAGAGAGAAGGCTGAACCACAGAAGCTCTGGGATTCTGTGAAAATGAAAGATAACATAAGAAAAAATGTTTGTATTATAGTCTTAATTTATTAAACAGTTTGAGGTTTCTACACAATTAACATTGAAACCCCTGTTGAATATACACCAACTATTCATGGGAAATATAATATATAACACATAGTAGATTCTACCTAAAAACAAAGAAAATACACCAACACAAAATACTACAGCATTCCTTTAAATCAGAAACAAAGTCTAATTCTCAGGAAGCTTTCTGTATTTCACAAGTGGCAAAGAGGCAGCAAATTAAGGCTTTAGATCTCCACATACAGTACCATGGTGGATACTGTCCTTGCTAAACTAGGTGTAAAAGAATGTGCTTACCAAAACTTTCTTTCAGGATCTCTTTATACTCCAGTGAAGCTATATGCATATATGGTTAAATCTGTATTCAACCCTAACACCATCACACACACCACCTGATTCTAAACCTAACTTAAAAAAGAGAATCCAGCTTCATGAGTAGTGTCTTATTCAACATCCTAACTTCATTCACACACATATTTTCTTTTCTTTTACCCCACTTGTGCTCTGAAAAAATTCAAAGAATTTATGGAGAAGTGATCTGCTAATATCACATCTCTAACAGCTGCTAGCTGGATATACTAAATCCATTATTATATGTCCATGTCAGAAAGTGTGCTTAATTACAAATCTGGTTTCTTTCAAAGAAACTGTTTTAAGCCTAGCCTACTGGGCTTCCTTAAGAGCAAGTTATATAGACCTTAGAGGCTGGGTGTAGGATAATTTTATCTGGATGTAATACTGCAATTACTTATAATGAAGTATCTCTAATAGCTATCCATTCAGTCTCGGCAGCCTGGAGCACTCAAGAAGAAATGCCTATCAACAAGTCATTTGGGAATGAACAGCTGATTTGAGAAACTGCATGCTACAGGGCAGGTGTTCTTTGTTTTTCTGAACACACACACACACACACACACACACACACAACACACACAAGTCTGATAGTAATTATATCTGCCAAATAATTTAAAAAGAATTAAAACAATATAAAATATGTCATTCTAAAAAATGTTTCAGAATATTTTTCAAAAATTTTCCTGGAAGTTTCAATTTTCAGATTTTGCTAAACTTCAGCACACAAGTTGTCTAATCCCAAGAATACGAACTTTTACTGTTTTAACTCTAAATGAAGCCCTTCTCTCTAGAATGTCAAAAGATTTGGAAACCAAAAAGTAATTACTATATAATCACTCAAAAAAAGACATGTGGTGTAATATTCGTAAGGTTGAATTGCACCTGTCACCAATACAACAAAAGAATATTTTATATATACAAACCACATAGCTTTGAACATTTGATAAACTGTTAAACTAATGCATAACAAGAAATCCACTGTCAAATGCAATACAAGTAACCAGAAATTAGATTAACAAAAATAGTTCAAGATTTCTAAATTTAAAACACATGGGCTTATCACCCTGAGCAAGTTACTGAATCTCTCTGTACTTGTTTCTTCATCCACAAAATGGGCAAAATAATAGTAAAAACCTCTGAGAGTTATTATCAACCTCAAATGAATACATATTAAACTGTTATAACAGAGCCTGGCAAAGGCTAATAAAAAACATATTATATCGGGAACAAATTTTTTTCAAATGACAATGCTGAAAAATAATAGTAATTGAAAAGAATAACCAAAAAATAAAAAAGACACAGCTGTCATGACGTATGAAAGAATAAAGTTTCAAGGTATCACAGTATGTTTACAGTACATACAAAATAACAGGAAAAACAGCTCCGTACTAAAAAAAAAAAAAAAAAAGAAAGAAAGAAAGAAAAAAAAAAGAGAGCTGCCTCCCTTCAAAGTGATTGTCATCAGCCCTACTTTGCAAAATCTTACTCTTCCTCCTATGTTCTACCAGTAAATCCCAGTCCTTAATATCAATAAAGTCACAAAACCTGCACCTCCAGGAGAGCAAAATAAAGTTAAGGATATGTGAGGTCCTTAGCATCTCCTAGTTTTAACAAGCCACCAAGTTGAAATTCATTCCTAAACTAAATTGCCAAATGTGTCTGCAATAAAAACTGCAAACTTTCATGTGAACAGAACTTTTCAACAATAGGGAGTTGTTCCAGTGTGTGAATAGGACAGTGTCAGTGTGACCAACAAAGCTGGGAGCTGGACATTCCTGACACCCTTGTCCCCTGGCTAGCCTTTGATCATTTACATCTCCCAGCCACATGTTTTTGGAAATCACTTTCAGGCAAAGTATATGGACAAAATCTATACCCTGAAACTGATCCCTCACCATAGAATCTTGTTTACACAGCTTCTAGGACCCTCACTTTTATCTACCACCATTATGAACATTCCCCGAGAATGAGCATCAAACACAGGAGTGCTTTGTCTTCCTAGTCTGTCCACCCCCACTCCCAGTCACTTCGTACTTTAATTTGTATATTTTGGAAAACATCATGGGATGACAACAGAAACTCAAACAATAAAATGACCTAAGAACTGAAAAGGCCTGCAGATAGTGCTACGGATCGGGTTGCCTGTGGATGCCCACCACAGAAGTGTGGTAGTGCTTTGTGGAAACGTGAGTTTATGACTCACTCAGAACAGTCTTGGAAAGGAGATTTGACTTGGTTCGTAGTTCTCTTACCTGAAAATGGGTTAATAAAATCCAACTCACACAGTTCTTGTAAGCACTAAATGAGACAAAGATTTCGAAGTGCCCAGTATACAGTTCATTTCCACGAAATACAATCTACTTTATTCTGTCCAACTGTCCTGGGACACACAAATCTAAGAGAATTCCGGACAGTGGAAAAGCCAAGACTCCCAAGTTTATCAGTGTGACCTCATCAAAATGGCCCAGATGCTATTTCAGGTTAAGGGTCTGCGGGGTCTCCTAGGCCAGGCTGGAGACAAAAGGGATACTTGATTGAGATCTGTGCCATTTTATTTCCCCCGAAGTAAAGCTGGTTTGCCCGATCAGTTCCTTTGTTTACATCAAGTAAGAAATGAACAGCAGATCCCCAGAAGGCTATGACCAAGAAGACAGACAGGCCTCGGAGCCGTGCCTCGCTGGTACTTCGCAGGCCCCTCACTATCCACTTCTGGGCAAGGCGCTTGCTCCGCAGTGTCTTCTAAGTTCCGAGCCCACGCCTAAGCTGCCATCCCCTTTCCAGAGAGCTGTGCCCTCCTCCCGGGGACCGGCCCACCGCCCGGAGCGAGCTACCCGGGCCTCGCACGGGTCCTTCGCAGCCCCGCGCCCACCCGCCTGAGACCCCGCCCGGAGGGCCCGCATCCACCCCTTCCCGCCGGGACCCCGGTGTGCGCCGCTCCTCGGGCCGAGTCCCCCGCCTTCCCGGAGCCGGGACCGCTATTCCCGCCTGGACCGACTCCAGCCGCTCCGGGCTCGCTCAACTCCCATCTGCCCCAGATCCTCCCCTCCCAGGGACAGAAACACGCATACTCACCCTTGAAAAGCAGTACTAGGAAGAAGTCGGGCAGCCAGGCGCAGAGCCGGACCGCCGGCCGCCGCCTCAGCGCCATGACAAGGGGAGCTGAGGGGCCGCAGACTCGCGGCGCAGCTAGGCTTCCCCGCGCGCATGCGCCCTGCCTGCCTGGGCCCCTGCTACCCGCCCCTAGTTACCATAGCGACCTCCTGGCCCCGGCACAGCCGTCACCATGGAGACAAAGGAAGCTGAAATATGGTTGCTATGGATGCAGGGATGCTCTGGACCCGCGCCCATGCGGTCTCATTCAAAGAATCCGATGGGAAGAGGTAAAGAAGCTTGTTCAAGATTGGGGCAGGGTAAATTTTCCATAGCTATAAAATGAATCCGGCACTACAGATCAGAGAAGAAACACTCAATTAAAACTTGGAAATGAAGCGTTTCCTCACAAATAAGGGTACAATCTAATTGTCTTTGAAGCATTATTGCTTGAACCTCTTTTGAAACCCTGATTCCAAATGTGATGGAAGGAAAAAGCACTGAAATCTATTTAGAACGTAAGCAAGACCAAAAAACAAAAATAAAACAAACAAACAAAACCCCACAAAGCAAGACATACATTAGGTAGTACATAAAACTGATGTCTTCCTAAAATAAACGTAATCCATAGTTTCTGTGGTAGATAAAAAACATGGAGGATAGTTTCCTCTGCAGAAAAGCAGGATAATTCTTTGCCTGATTTCCGAATATCAGAAAATGGTAAGGCTAGGGTAGAAAATGGAGCAGAATCTTATGAGGACAACCGGATAAGATGAAGGATAGAATGTACTGGAAACTGGTCCTAAGGATGCAGGAAGTTTTGTGTGTCAATACTGTGGAAAATTCTTGAAATAGCTTGTATTATATCTAATACAGAAAATACACCCCTGGGGTGCCTGTGTAGCTCAGTGGGTTAAAGCCTCTGCCCTCAGCTCGGGTCATGACCCCGGAGTCCTGGGGTCGAGCCCTGCATCAGGCTCTCTGCTCCGCGGAGAGCCTTCTTCCCCCTCCCCCCCGCCTGCCTCTCTGCCTACTTGTGATCTCTCTCTCTCTCTGTCTGTCAAATAAATAAATACAATTTTAAAAAAATTTAAAAAAGAAAATACACCCCTAATGCTCCAGAAAACAATAGGGTAAAAACAGATTTCTGAGTGTAGTTATTAGTAAAATATGCCAGAGTTTCCAACAACTGATTTTTTTTTAATGTTTAATTTAAGGACTTCGTTTTTCATACAGTCACCCTACATATTTTTTAGCATTTTTATTTTTTGCAAAGTAGAACAGTGTTGTTGTAGTTTCCATATATACCAAATTACGAATGCCAGGAAACATGAAATAGATTGAGGTTGTTGCCAAGGATATGCTTCAACTGCCACCACTTTATGATCTTCTTTTTTTTTTTTAAAGATTTTATTTATCCATTTGACAGAGATCACAAGCAGGCAGAGAGGAAGGCAGAGAGAGAGGAAGGGAAGCAGGCTCCCTGCTCAGCAGAGAGCCGGATATGGGGCTCGATCCCAGGACCCTGGGACCACGACCGGAGCCAAAGACAGAGGCTTTAACCCACTGAGCCACTCAGGCGCCCCACTTTATGATCTTCTTTATAAATTTTTATAATTGCTCAAAACTTTGTAATTGTGAATTAATTACATTCTCAAAATCTCACAAAGACAGAATAAAATATTTAAAATAACTCAACAATTTATTATTATTTTATCTTTCCTTTCTTAACCCTTCTTTCTGTTCCAGTTCACTATATTCCAGTCACAAGTAAAAGTGTGTGAAAAATGGGGTGCCTGGGTGGCTCAGTGGGTTAAGCTGGTGCCTTTGGCTCAGGTCATGATCTCAGAGTCCTGGGATCGAGCCCCGCATCGGGCTCTCTGCTCAACAGGGAGCCTGCTTCCTCCTCTCTCTCTGCCTGCCTCTCTGCCTGCTTGTGATCTCTCTGTCAAATAAATAAATAAAATCTTAAATATATTATATGTTTATAAAAAATAAAATTTAAAAATAAATAAATAAATAAATAAAATCTTTTTTAAAAAAAAGTATGTGAAAATTATATTATAGTGGCAGCCTTTCTCCCTTCATCAAACACAACATACAGGAATTTAAAGGGGAAAATTCTTCTTAGGCCCACTGACTTTTTTACTTTTGCTTTCTCTTTTCTTTATCATTCCCTTTGGTTCCCGAATATATAGCTAGGCATATTTGCCTAAATGAAGGAACCATTTTGGTTACCTGAGAAATACGAAGTTTCCTACTGTGGACAGAGTAGTTTTCAAAAGCTAGTGCCTCTTTTCTCCTGTTGTATTTCCTGTGTTTGCCCTGTGACATGGTTCTCTTAAATGGTCTTCCTCTGTTAGGGAATCTTTTCAAACTTAGAACAAGACCAGACGGAAAGGCTCCATGAATATTCTATATGGAAAAGAGGTTCCTATTAGAGCAAATGCAGGTACTTCGTTGTAAAATGTTGATTTTCCTCCACAGATGGAGTCTGCATGTCATGGCTGGTGGTTGAGACACAATCCTGGATTGGAGCCTAACTAGTGATGCACCAGGACAGGGTAGGATGTACTTGGCTGTCAAATGGTCTGCTTCTCCATATGATTTAACTGTTCCCAGTAGAGCTCTGGCTCTGTTCAGAAGGGAACCAGAGTTCTGGAAGCATTCAATGAGTGGAGTTGTGAAGTCTATGCTTCTATCACCACATTATCCAACTGAATATGTTTATTTCTAATGTGCGATTTACTAAGGAGAGATACATTTCTTAGAAGCACTCAGGGAACTAAATACACATATGCTAACCTTATACAGAAGCATTTGCGAGACTTTTCAATATTAATGCAAAGTATAAATCAAGTAGCAAAGAGTAGGGTTTTCCTATGAGAGTCACCGCTGAACAGACTGGAGAGGTCCTGGAAGGAGCAATTACAGGAGGGGAAACATAAGCCCCGGAGTCTGATGGACAAAGATTCAAGTTCTTGGTTTTTGTAAACTTGGGATAATTTTTAAATTTCCCTAGACTTTGGATTCCTTGTCTGTAAAATAGGGATAACAATACCCACCTCAAGTGGTCATTGTGAAGATCATGTGAAATAAAGGTCTGGAACATACTAGGTGCTCAGTAGATGTTTGTGCTCTATGCCCCTTCCGTTTCCTACTATTCTGGCTCAGATTGGGCCAAATGATATAATATTCCTGGAGAGTCTTGATAATGAAAAGTATCTTCAGCCTGCATATGGGTTCAGAGAGAATGAGCAGCAAAGAGGAAGTTTTACATTAATGTGTGTTTGTTCTCTTGGTGTGATTATATTCTTAAAAAGTAACATGAAGAGCTTCTGTCCCTTCAGTATGCCATTATACACCTGAACAATCACCTGAAGTCAACCCTCACAGCAAAAAAGAAGCAAGATCCATTGACTAAGGGAAGTCTCTGACCCTAGAGTCATTTAAGAGGAAAGCATTCCTCTTCAGGTTTTATCAAAGATTGTTGCTCCATCTCATCTCCATTCAAGTTTCCTCTTCCTTGAAATATTCAACTCTGTTCTCTCACATTTTCTCTCAGCTATCAGGCCCTGCTCCTTCTTTTCAAAGTACTTCTTGAATTTCATTTAAATAGGAGGATTTCTACCCCTCCCCTGCCGATCCAAGGCAACAGTAGGAAGGAAAACCTCATCAATGAGAAAACCTCATCCCCTCTAACTAGATATGCTGCTCAAGCTATATAAGGAAGTTATATATTTTATTTATAAAATAAATAATTTTTTATTCAATTTATTTGCATGGTCCTCTCCTTTGTAGTGGTTCAGTTGAGAAAGGTCGTATTAATGCCAAAGTTTTGGCTTAAAATGTCTTCCTAGGAGAGAACTTTATAAGAAGCTATTTGGCAGTCCCTTCATATTTCACCAAAAGGAAGCTGATGTTCATATGCTAGAGTGTGTTAGTGTGTGTTTGTGTGTGGTATAAATAAGTATATCATACATGCCATGGGTGAAAGAAAGACTCACTCACCTCTGCTAGGGGAGGAGTTGGAGTGTCCCATCACCATTAGCCAGGATCTCTACTCACCAGTGCCCCTGAAAATGCAACACAACAACCAACACTGAATGGACAATTTCATGACCACAACTGAGGCCTGACACAGGATTTGCTATACGCTGGCGCTGAAGGTTCTAAGAACTGTGAATCCCAAGATCCCTGTTAAGGTGTCTGCCTCAGTTCCTTCTTTGAGGAAATAGAGAATCAGGGTTTGCCTGAATGCTCCCTCCAGACACCAAGGAAAAGGTGTTAGGGACAGCCAGCAAATACTTACCAGACCACCTTCAGGAAGGACACCTGTCATGAGATAAAACAAACAAGCTCTTTCTTCTACTTGACTTGATGAATATTTCCACTGCCCAGGGAGAAGATGGAAACTTCTCCTCATCTGTGCTTCAGGACTGGGAACACAGATGAACATTAGCACAAAGGACACACAAGCTATTGGGACTATCTTGGAGCCCAGCCAAGGAGCAGATTCAGAGGCAGGGGTAGGAGAGCTCCTAACAGTGGGCAGACAGTGTATCTGCAGCTCTTCAGCTCAAGTTGTATGCCTCTGGGATGCTCCAACTACTTTGTTTACAGATTGGAGATATTTTTATCTCAACCTCCAATTAGAGGTAATTTTCTCTTCATACAAATTGTACCATCGAGTGTTTACTTCCTGGCAGCACCAAAGAGAGACCAGAGCCTCTGCTATCTCTCTCTTGTCCTGCAGGGAATCTTGCATTTTTTTCAGAGTCCCTTCCAGGGTCAATTCCCTACTGCACAGTTTGGGGAAGAGGCAAGTTCTTCCTGATGGTCTTGGGCCGAGGGTTTGGGCTGGTAACTTGTACTGCTCCTTCCTTTCCAAGGGTGGAAGGGTATTTTTCCTACTTGCCATTGCAGAGTTTCTGGATAGCCTGTTCCAGGACTGGAAATAGTGAGTATTTGATTCTATTTCCCAGATCTCTAATGTGATGAGGATTATACCCCAAGCCTTTTTTCCCCAGAGATTATTTAATATCATGTCTTTTAAGCAAGTAGATA